AATAGGGTTCGTACCGGTTGAGGGTAGGTACTCACCAAAGCCTTATAAAATAGGGTTCGTACCAGGTGGGGGTAAGTACCCACAAGAGCCTTATAGAATAGGGTTCGTACCAGGTGAGGGTAGGTACTCACTAGAGCCTTATAGAATAGGGTTCGTACCAGGTGGGGGTAGGTACCCACAAGAGCCTTATAGAATAGGGTTCGTACCAGGTGGGGGTAGGTACCCACAAGAGCCTTATAGAATAGGGTTCGTACCGGGTGAGGGTAGGTACTCACCAAAACCTTATAGAATAGGGTTCGTACCAGCAAAAGCCTTATAAAATAAGGTTTGTACCGGATGAGGGTAGGTACTCATCAGAATCTAGCAAAAATGCAGATTCGTACCAGGTGGGGGTAGGTACCCACCAGAGCCTTATAAAATAAGGTTTATACCGGATGAGGGTAGGTACTCATCAGAATCTAGCAAAAAATGCAGATTCGTACCAGGTGGGGGTAGGTACCCACCAGAGCCTTATAAAATAAGGTTTATACCGGATGAGGGTAGGTACTCATCAAAATCTAGCAAAATGCAGATTCGTACCAGGTGGGGGTAGGTACCCACCAGAGCCTTATAAAATAAGGTTTGTACCGGATGAGGGTAGGTACTCATCAGAATCTAGCAAAAATGCAGATTCGTACCAGGTGGGGGTAGGTACCCACCAGAGCCTTATAAAATAAGGTTTGTACCGGATGAGGGTAGGTACTCATCAAAACCTAGCAAAATGCATCAGGTAGAGTAAAATACTCACCAGAGCATTACAAAAACGGGTTGCAAATACCTTGCTTCTATTAGAGGATAGTTCAAGTGTTGAGCACCTCGGAAGTAAGTACCCACAAGAGTTTAGCAAAATGTGAACTCGTACCAGGTGAGGGTAGGTACTCACCAAAGCCTTGCAGAACAAGGTTCATACCAAGTGGGGGTAGGTACCCACAAGAACCTTATGGAATATGGTTCAGAATCTGGCAAAGAGTAGATTCATACCCAGTGGGGTAGGTACCCACAAGAGTCTAGTGAAATGCAGACTCATACCCGGTGAGGGTAAGTACTCACCAAAGCCTTATAAAAGAAGGCTCAAACCAGATAGGGGTTGATACCTATCAGAAATATTTATCATCCGGAGGATCTTCAAGCGAAGGAGCATCTGAAGGATAACCGGGAAAAAAGGGTTAACTCCTTCCCCTACCAACTAACTTTGTCGGCATATTAGGCCAACAATTAGTCAGGCAGGTGAAGCGGGGGCAGTTGTAGACCCCTAATTTTGCCCGGCCTCTCAATAAAGGCTAAGGAGACTTCCTATAACAAGATAAAGCTCGCCTGACATCTCAATAAAGGCCAAGAAGACTTCCTATATGAAGATAAAGCTTCAATGGATGTCTATCGGCATCAATCGACGTCCGAATAAAGAAAGGAAAGCTTCTCACACAAAATCTGGCAAAAACAGTTGAGATGGCTGTCCCAGAAATTGGGACGGCCGTCCCACATGTCCAGACGACCGTCCCAAGTTCCAGACGGTCGTCCCAACTGGTTTTGGTGCTTGGGATGGCCGTCCCAAATCCCAGACGGCCGTCCCGACTTCCCCAGACGCCCATCCCTGATTTCCAAGCTCCAGACGACCGTCCCAAGCTGCCAGGCTGCGAAAACTATAAATAGAAGGCTCATTTGCCACTTTTCCACACCCCAGACAACTCAAAACACTTGTCTTCTCTCCCTACTTCGAATGAACTCTCCGATTGCCTTAAAAAGGTAACAATCGGTTAAGGAATTGTATTCCAGCATTCGATTCTTCTTTAAAATTTAGTAGAGTCGATATTCTATTCGGGGAGGAGAGTCTTTGTAGAGTGGGGGATTGCCAAAATGCATCCTCACAATTCAAGATTTGTAATACAAAGCTTGCTACGGAGGCTCTTTTCACTTCTCTTCTCTTTTACTGCTTTATTTATTGCTTTATGCATGCAATATAAAATAAAATCATGTAGATAGCCATTTTTTAATATTATGCAATAAAATAGGGTAATAGCGTAATTTCTCGTAATCTTCACTTAATGAATGAATCCGTCATAGGGAACCCGAAAGGGGCGTTGTGGGGGTGCTAACACCTTCCCCACACGTAACTAACTCCCTTACCTAACTCTGGTTATAATGGCCAAGTTTGGTTTTTATTAAAATCAATTCCTTTTTATCCTTTTCCAATGTTTACGGTCAAAACATTGGTGGCGACTCCATAAGAACCCCTTTTCGAAAACCTTGCTTTTATTAGAGGATAGTTCAGTTGTTGAGCACCTCGGAAGCAATGAACATATTTTAAAATAAAAATGCGAGTCTAAACCATCTTTTTGCGACCGCTCGCATAAACGTTCGAGATGTCCCTAGACGTCAGAACGGACGACGGCAATAGATGGCGACTCCACTGGGGAATAGTGTTTTACCTTTTTCTCGCGATTTTATCTCTTTTCGCGATTTTGAAAATTTGGCTTTTAAATGCATGCGCCTTTTATGCACACTTGGCTTTTTGTTATTTGTTGAATGAAGAGATTTATTTTTTCTCTTTTTTTGCGATCCCGAGGAGTATATTAGCTTCCCGGGGATCCAATCTTTGATTTGATTTTTTATGATGGAGTCTTGGGCTCCTGACTTTGTGAGGCTCTTTATTGAGCGGAATGAAGAAATTTTCTTCTTTTTCTCTTTTTTGGAGATTCACCAAGGAGTTTGTCAGCTTCTTGTGGATCCAACTTTGATGATGGAGTCTTGGCTCCTGACTTTTGTGAAGCTCTTTATTGAGCGGGATGAAGAGATTTTCTTCTTTTTCTCTTTTTTTGGAGATTTTCCAAGGAGTTTGTCGGCTTCCTGGGGATCCAACTTTGATGATTTTTTGATTATGGAGTCTTGGCTCCTGGCTTTGTGAAGCTCCTATTTGAGCTGGAAGATGGAAATTTTCTTGTTTTCCTCTTTTTGTAGACTTTTCTTAATATGCTCTACTTGGAGATTTTTTATTCGGCCTTTTTTGTGCCTCTATTGGGGAATGAAAGTTTTTCTTTTCTTTCTTTTTGTTGCCCCCTAGTGATATGGAAGATTTGACTCCGTATTTTCTTTGATGGACTCTTGTGTAGTCCTTATTCTCCTTTGGGGAATGAGGCGGAGATTCTTGCATGAGTGTGCTTGATGACTCATGTGGTGATGTCGCTGAGTCGTGAGGTAATCTTTTTGTTTTGCCTCTAGAGTAGGCAAGGATCCTCTTGGGGACGATCAAGCCTTTCCGTTGGCTTTTCTATTTTGATGGCTTCCTTCTTTCTTGGATGGAAGGATGGTGATTGAAGCTTTAAATGACTCTCTTTTGATGACTCATGTGGTGGTGCTGAGTCATGAAGTAATATTTGTTTTGCCTTTGGAGTAGGCAAGGATCCATTTGGGGATCATCGAGCCTTTCCGTTGGCCTTTTTCTGGTGTACCTTCGTTTATTGGGATAGAAGGTTAGAGCTAGTTTCCTTAAAGCTCCTTATTCTGCTGCAATGGTTTTGATTCCATATTTTTCTTTCGTGATTTTGATCTTTATCGCGAGTTATTTGAAATCTGGCTTTTTAATATATCACGTGTGCCTTTTTATTTTATAATTTTTGTACACGTGGGCTTTTTGAAATGTAAACAAAAATAACAACTTTTATTTATTACTTCTCTTTTTTCTTGGTGATACATTCAAGCATTTTTAAACTACTAGAAAATATCTAAAGACCTCCTAACCATCTGCTTCTTGGCTGGAATGGGAGGATGGTGCTGGCGAAGGGATGCGGCGGAGTATGCGGCGCTGGAACCTTGCCTGAGTCTGGACCAAATTTTCTATTTGACGATCGGTCCTATCTTGCCTCATGGTCAGTTGACTGAACTGTTGTCGCATGAACTGGAACTGCCCTTCCATGTAGGCATGCTCATCATCTATACGTCGGTATAAGCCGGCGAAGTCTGGATCATATGATTACTGCTGAGATTCCGAAGTCGCAGGGATGTCCTGTGGTGTGTTGAAATCACGCATATCCAGCGAAATCGAGATTATGGGGTTTAAAATAAACCCTGATCCTTGTCGACTAAGGATGTTCATGTGGACCAGTGTTCCTCCGTTAATCGGATCTGGTTGGAGGCTAGCTGGGAGGTCTTCTCCGTCAGTGCATCCCCAATATTCAGCTAAAGGGGTGAGAAAGGGAGCCACTATGATGGCTCCTGCTGAGCCGCGAGTTTCGTATTCCTTTACGGCTTTTAGGAAGACATATCCTGGGTTGCATCGATGCCCTTGATGCATACAATAGACAATGAAAAGGTCAGCCAGCGTTACCTTCCCTTGGCTTTCCTTTCGACTATGCTTGGTCCCGGCTAGCAGTTTATGGCATATGCGGAGTGGCGGAGAAAAAGCTGCACCTTTCAGATGTGACGGCAGGGAATGTGCTCCAGTGATTTCTTTCCACATGTTGGTGGTAGTGAGAGCAGCGGGTTTCTCGAGATATGCAGATCTATATTCTGGTGTCCTCGTGTCTGCTCGTTGGCAAAAACCCATTTTGACATTAAAGTCATCCAGAAAAGTAGCCCGGTATGCCCCGTCCATCCAATAGGAGACGGCTTGAGTAGGTGGCACTTCGGGAGTCGTGGAAGGCATCTCCACCAGATTGACAGAGGCGAGGAATTTGAGCGTAGCAGTATGGTGGATCCGAGTAGGTGGCTCACTAAGCAGAAAGTCCCATCCTATGTTATGGATGAATCTTCTAACATCTTGATCCCAGCCGAATGTAGTCAGGATTTCAAAATCCAAACATTGCATGGGATGCCAGGAGAATTGTTGGATATTTGCCAACCTTTGTTGATGTGGTTCTGCCAGCAGATTGTTGGTGACAGGAGTTCCTCTAGCGGAGGTTCTGGTGCGTTTTCTCCTGGATGAAGCCTCTCCATGTTCCATTGTATGCCTTACTCACTTAAGGATGCTAGAAGTGTGTAAAAAGGGAGGAGAAGCAAGATAGAATGCTTGGAATGGGGTACCAAGGCAAGGATCCACGCCTAGCATATATAGGAGGAGCCAGGAGAATTGGGACGGCCGTCTGGGTTGGGACGGCCGTCTGGGTTGGGACGGCCGTCTCACTTGAAAATTTTCCTTTGGGACAGCCAACTGAGGAGTGGGACGACCGTCTCACTTGAAAATTTGGCCCTGAGACGGGCGTCTCAAACTTGGGACGGGCGTCCCGTTTGAAATTGGCTTCTTGGGACGACCATCTCACCTTTGGGACGGCTGTCTCAAGCTTTTCGAGTTGGTTTTCATGTTTTTTGATGAGAAGAAGGATAAGACTCCATTCATAAAAAAACAAATCAAAGATTGGATCCCCGGGAAGCTAATATACTCCTCGGGATCGCAAAAAAAGAGAAAAAATAAATCTCTTCATTCAGCAAATAACAAAAAGCCAAGTGTGCATAAAATGTGCATGCATTTAAAAGCCAAATTTTCAAAATCGCGAGAAAAAGGTAAAAAACTATTCCCCAGTGGAGTCGCCATTTGTCACCGCCATCCGTTCTGACGTCCAGGGACATCTCGAACGTTTATACGAGCGGTCGCGAAAAGATGGTTAAGACTCGCGTTTTTATGTTAAAATATGTTCATTGCTTCCGAGGTGCTCAACAACTGAACTATCCTCTAATAAAAGCAAGGTTTTCGAAAAGGGGTTCTTATGGAGTCGCCACCAATGTTTTGACCGTAAACATTGGAAAAGGATAAAAAGGCGTTGATTTTAATAAAAACCAAACTTGGCCATTATAACCAGAGTTGGGTAAGGGAGTTAGTTACGTGTGGGGAAGGTGTTAGCACCCCACAACGCCCCTTTCGGGTTCCCTATGACGGATTCATTCATTAAGTGAAGATTATGAGAAATTACGCTATTACCCTATTTTATTGCATAATATTAAAAAAATGACTATCTACATGACTTTATTTCATATTGCATACATAAAGCAATAAATAAAGCAATAAAAGAGAAGAGAAGTGAAAAGAAGCTCCGTAGCAAGCTTTGTATTACAAATCTTGAATTGTGAGGATGCGTTTTGGCAATCCTCCGCTCTACAAAGACTCTCCTCCCAGGCTACAATATCGACTCGATTAAATTTTAAAGAAGAATCGAATGCTGGAATATAATTCCTTAACCGATTGTTACCTTTTTAAGGAAATCGGAGAGTTCATTCGAAGTAGGGAGAGAAGACAAGTGTTTGGAGTTGTCTGGAGTGTGAAAAAGTGGCAAATGAGCCTCCTATTTATAGTTTTCGTAGTCTGGCAGCTTGGAACGGCCGTCCGGGGCCTGGAAAACAGGGATGAGCGTCTGGAGAAGTCGGGACGGCCGTCTGGGATTTTTGGACGGCCGTCCCAAGCATCAAAACCAGTTGGGACGGCCGTCTAGAACTTGGGACGGCCGTCTGGGCATGTGGGACGGCCGTCCCAACTTCTGGGACGGCCATCTCGACTGTTTCTGCCAGATTTTGTGTTCTGGGACCCCCGGGAAGCTTTCCTTTCTTTATTCGGACTTTGATTGATGCCGATAGAATCCATTGAAGCTTTATCTTCATATAGGAAGTCTTCTTGGCCTATATTGAGATGCCAGACAAGCTTTATCTTGTTATAGGAAGTCTCCTTAGCCTTTATTGAGAGGCCGGGCAAAATTAGGGGTCTACAACTGCCCCCTTCACCTGCCTGACTAATTGTTGGCCTAATATGCCGACAAAGTTAGTTGGTAGGGGAAGGAGTTAACCCTTTTTGCCCGGTTATCCTTCAGATGCTCCTTCGCTTGAAGATCCTTCGGATGATAAATATTTCTGATAGGTACCAACCCCTATCTGGTTTGAGCCTTCTTTTATAAGGCTTTGGTGAGTATTTACCCTCACCGGGTATGAGTCTGCATTTCACTAGACTCTTGTGCATACCTACCCCCACTAGGTATGAATCTGCTTTTTGCTAGATTCTGATCTGGTACGAACCAAATTCCATAAGGTTCTTGTGGGTACCTACCCCGACTTGGTACGAACCTTGTTCTACAAGGCTTTGGTCAGTACTTACCCTCACCTGGTATGAGTTCGCATTCTGCTAAACTCTGGTGGGTACTTACTTCCGAGGGGCTCAATACTGAACTATCCTCTAATAGAAGCAAGGTCTTTGCAACCCGTTTCTGTAATGCTCTGGTGAGTATTTTACTCTACCTGATGCATTTTGCTAGGTTCTGATGAGTACCTACCCTCATCCGGTACAGACCTTATTTTATAAGGCTTTGGTGGGTACCTACCCCCACCTGGTACGAATCTACATTTTTGCTAGATTCTGATGAGTACCTACCCTCATCCGGTATAAACCTTATTTTATAAGGCTCTGGTGGGTACCTACCCCCACCTGGTACGAATCTGCATTTTTGCTAGATTCTGATGAGTACCTACCCTCATCCGGTACAAACCTTATTTTATAAGGCTCTGGTGGGTACCTACCCCCACCTGGTACGAATATGCATTTTTGCTAGATTCTGATGAGTATCTACCCTCATCCGGTACAAACCTTATTTTATAAGGCTTTTGCTAGTACGAACCCTATTCTATAGGGCTCTGGTGAGTACCTACCCTCACCCGGTACGAACCCTATTCTATAAGGCTCTGGTGAGTACCTACCCCCACCTGGTACGAACCCTATTCTATAAGGCTCTTGTGGGTACCTAGCCCCACCTGGTACGAACCCTATTCTATAAGGCTCTGGTGAGTACCTACCCCCACCTGGTACGAACCCTATTCTATAAGGCTCTGGTGAGTACCTACCCTCACCCGGTACGAACCCTATTCTATAAGGCTCTTGTGGGTACCTACCCCCACCTAGTACGAACCCTATTCTAGAAGGCTCTTGTGGGTACATACCCCCACCTGGTACGAACCCTATTCTATAAGGCTCTGGTGAGTACCTACCCTCACCCGGTACGAACCCTATTTTATAAGGCTCTTGTGGGTACCTACCCCCACCTGGTACGAACCCTATTCTATAAGGCTCTTGTGGGTACCTACCCCCACCTGGTACGAACCCTATTCTATAAGGCTCTTGTGGGTACCTACTCCCACCTAGTACAAACCCTATTCTATAAGGCTCTTGGTGAGTACCTACCCTCACCTGGTACGGACCCTATTCTATAAGGCTCTTGTGGATACCTACCCCCACCTGGTACGAACCCTATTCTATAAGGCTTCTTGGTGAGTACCTACCCTCACCTGGTACGAACCCTATTCTATAAGGCTCTTGGGATGCTCTTTTTTGGCATTCAGTCTTTTGATTGAAGAGTACAAACGCTCATCCGGTTTTTGGAGATGTGTTGGCGGCTTATTGTCCCTGATCATGCGCCTATTCCGTGGGGAGTGATTGATCTTTCTTTTTGACTTTTCTGTTTTAGTCATATGGTTTTACCAAGGATTCTTTGTTTTTTTTTTTGGCTTTTTCATTTTAGCCATCCGGTCTTGCCAGGGATTCTTTGTTTTTGGCTTTTCTTTTTAGCCATCCGGTCTTGCCGGGGATTCTTTGTTTTTGGCTTTTCTTTTAGCCATCCGGTCTTGCCTGGGATTCTTTGTTTTTGGCTTTTCTTTTTAGCCATCCGGTCTTGCCGGGGATTCTTGTTCTTTGGCTTTTTTATTTAGCCATCCGGTTTTACCGGTGATTTCTTGTTGGTTGCCTCTTATTTTAGGCAGGAATCTCCTGGGGATTTGTGGTTTTTGGCTTTTCTATTTAGCCGTCCGGTTTTTGTCGGGGTTTATCGATGATTGCCTCTTAATTTAGGCAGGAATCCATTGAGGATTTGTTGATTTCTTGTTGATTGTGCCTCTTGTTTTTAGGCAAATGCTTCAGCAGTGGTGAAGACTTTTATGCTTTGGGCTTATATTGCCTCTTGCGTAGGTTGATTTCCCATTTCTTGGGGATATTAGCTCTTTGCTCGCCTCTGAGTAGGTAAAGGCTTTCTCGGGAGTGAAGGCTTTGCATTTCACTGGGGATATTCATATTGGGTGTTTATAGGTGATTAACTCCCTGAGGATATGAATTTGTAGTTTGCCTCTGTCGTAGGCTCACTAGGGTAGTTTTTCCCTTTTGATGATTCATCGGGGATTTGATTGCTCTCCTGGAAATCTATTTTGACTTGCCCCCTAGGGAGGAATGGAGTTTTTGACTCCTTATTGGATGCTGTTGTTTGAGCTGGTTTTGCCTATGCTCTTATTCCTGCTGGGGAATGGGTTTTTACCTTTTTCTTGCGATTTGTATCTCTTTTTTGCGATTCTTGAAAATTTGGCTTTTAAATGCATGCGCCTTTTATGCACACTTGGCTTTTTGTTATTTGCTGGATGAAGAGATTTATTTTTTCTCTTTTTTTGCGATCCCGAGGAGTATATTAGCTTCCCGGGGATCCAATCTTTGATTTGATTTTTTACGATGGAGTCTTGAGCTCCTGACTTTGTGAGGCTCTTTATTGAGCGAAATGAAGAAATTTTCTTATTTTTCTCTTTTTTTGGAGATTCACCAAGGAGTTTGTCAGCTTCCTGGGGATCCAACTTTGATGATGGAATCTTGGCTCCTGACTTTTGTGAAGCTCTTTATTGCGGAATGAAGAAATTTTCTTCTTTTTCTCTTTTTTGGAGATTCACCAAGGAGTTTGTCAGCTTCCTGGGGATCCAACTTTGATGATTTTTTGATGATGGAGTCTTGGCTCCTGGCTTTGTGAAGCTCCTATTTGAGCTGGAAGATGGAAATTTTCTTGTTTTCCTCTTTTTGTATACTTTTCTTGATATGCTCTACTTGGAGATTTTTTATTCGGCCTTTTTTGTGCCTCTATTGGGGAATGAAAGTTTTTCTTTTCTTTCTTTTTGTTGCCCCCTAGTGATATGGAAGATTTGACTCCATATTTTCTTTGATGGACTCTTGTGTAGTCCTTATTCTCCTTTGGGGAATGAGGCGGAGATTCTTGCATGAGTGTGCTTGATGACTCATGTGGTGATGCTGCTGAGTCGTGAGGTAATCTTTTTGTTTTGCCTCTGGAGTAGGCAAGGATCCTCTTGGGGATGATCAAGCCTTTCCGTTGACTTTTCTATTTTGATGGCTTCCTTCTTTCTTGGATGGAAGGATGGTAGTCGGATCTTTAAGTGACTCTGTTTGACGACTCATGTGGTGATGTTGAGTCGCGAAGAAAATTTTGTTTTGCCTTTGGAGTAGGCAAGGATCCATTTCAGGATCATCGGCTTTTCCGTTGGCCTT